CAATTCCCATTGTAAAAAACCAACAATGGAAAAGCGGAATTATATCCATTAATGGATCACATACATTCTCATGGTATTACCCATTGATGGATATATGGTGTTACCCATTCATGGATATGATATTACCCATTCATGGATATGATATTACCCATTCATGGATATGCTATTACACATTCATGGATATGGTATTACCCATTCATGGATATGATATTACCCATTCATGGATATGATATTACCCATTCATGGATATGATATTACCCATTCATGGATATATGATATTACCCATTCATGGATATGCTATTACCCATTCATGGATATGATATTACCCATTCATAGATATGGTATTACCCATTCGTGGATATGGTATTGCCCAATCATGGATATGCTATTACTCATTCATGGATATGGTTATTACCCATTCATGGATATGGTATTACCCATTCATGGATATGGTATTACCCATTCATGCTACGTTTACTGTACGTACAATACCCAATAATTAAATGGAAATTAAGTAATTCAATTGTAAAACCCATTTAATATATATTTATTTATATCATAGTGTACTTTCCAATATCCACGGTATCCAAATTTTCATACTGTATCTGTGGTATCAGATAAAATACTTCTTCCAAAATATAGAATGTAAAGAGATAAGAGTACACAATGTTTTTTAGCAACATGAACAAATATGAAGAGAAGTACATCAAACGGTTGTATAAAGAGCACTGACATTTACAACTTTTGCAGTCTTTTGACCATACATCTTGATATATTACAATCTCCTGGCTCAGAGGTTACTTCCACAATCTTTCTATCAATCAATTCAGGTGCCAGCTTCCTCACAGCATTGTCCTTGCTCATGGTACTAGGCACACTATGCATATATTTTTTTAGTAATGGAGTTATCCAGCTTCTCGGGACATCAGAATACTTAATTGCCCCAAATGCAACTGTCACAATAATCTTACAATCTTCAAGAGAAAGCTCATTTTCCTTCTGGTGGCCTATTGACAAAAAACAGTAGTATATTAAGTTCTTTGAAGCTAATTGCATGGCGATAAATACAATACAGTTTTTTTTTCATAGAAAATAATTTTGTTGTGTAGATAATTTTACGTGGTGTTTTCTACAAAACGAAACTATACACAGGGTGTATTAAAAAAAAGTTATCCAAATTTAGCACCCTATTGTGCGTAAATTACTTGGTAAACGTAATTTTTTATATTAAAGATCAGGCTTTTGGCTGTTGAATGACACATTTTTCATACCATTTGGAGGAAAAATGAGTAAATACGAGCTTGAAAGCCAGTTTTGACACATTCGTGAAAACTTATGTGAAAAATTAGGCGCAGTGGTGAAAGAATTCGATTTTGATCAAGATTTTCAATCGAGCTCGTATTAATTCATTTTTTCTCCATATATGTGTGCTATGAAATTGCTCATTATGCTATGAAATTGTGCTCATTCAACAGCTAAAAGCCTGATATTTCTTAATATAAAAAATTATGCTCGTTTACCAAGTAATTTACACACTAGCCTACGAACAGGCTCTCTTTGAACTCTCTTTGAAATTTGAGAGAGCCTGGAGGCCTAGCTAATAAAAACGCGTCTGTGCGTTGCTTAGAACGACGCAGGGTTCCCATTGGTTGAAATTGAATTAACTACATTATACTGCCATAAAAGGTAATTGAATTTACACAACAATAGATTCAAATCGAAAAATATCGTTCTATAGCGAGTTGTATAGAAAACTAAATCTTTGTTTAAAGTTAAAGGATGGACAGTCAAAAGCTCTTAACAATATTCTAGACGGAAACGATGTTTTTGCTGTATAAGAGAGTTTGGCAAATACAACGTTCTTATATCAACAATAGCATCTTTACTCTAAGACAAAGGCAACTATAATTTGCATTCTTGAGCATTCTAGTATGCCGTAGTTGTTCAAACTCAAGTCGTGGTGTCTATGTGAATTCACTTACTATTGCTACTTCAGGAAATTTCAGGGTTGTTTGAAAGAAAGACAAGTGCTTTTAATGTTGTAAAAAATCATGCGTTGAAATCAAGATATGCGTTTTGTTTACATATATATTCGCAGGCTATTACATAAGGCGTGTCTGTATTAATTTGTCACATTGTATTTTACATTTGATTGACAACACTATAAATAGTGATGGGCACAGACGCATTTTTATTGACTAAACCGGCAGGCTCTAATTCAATTCAAAGAGGCTCTAATTCAATTCAACATACTGTAGTTGGATTAGCTTTTTTTGAGACATCCTTTATTATATAACAGTGCGTATATATGTCTCTAGCAGATGTTGATTCAATGAGTAAACCATCAGGAATCCACGAGGGCTTTAACTCTACAAACATGGAGTTTTTATGGACATTGTTACGAGTGAGGGTAGCGAACAAGTGACACCAACCATGAAGTAATCTCTATATATACACTAATTTATATATATTATACCCTTCATACTATATTTCACCTTTAGAGTTGCCAATTTTATCAAAAAAGGATGGCAGGGTGGTGAGCTGGTCTGTTTCTGAATTGTCTTGTGTTTCCAAATCGTTGGGATCTTGCGTTTCCAAATCGTTCGGATCTTGCGTTTCAGAATTGTGACTTTGTGTGTTGTTATTATCTTCTGAAGTGCTTCCTTCATCAAGGGATGATGTCTAAGATATTGAAAAAAAGATTGTTGTTCCATCTAATCAGAGTTGTTTGTTCATCAAAAGATGCTGTTAGTTTTCATTTTAATCAAACTAACTTTTTCTCTGCACCCTTTATCTACAATTTGATCACTTTTTCTTTTCAACGTCCTTCTGTCAACCTGCAAATTATATTTATTCACTATAAATATAGTATCTACTATATGTAAGGCGAAAATGTTTTCAAGTGAAATTTAATAATTTCCAGACCGCATGCAAGCAGAAAATTCTGTCCGCCACAGCTGGGTTTCGGAAATTCTGCTTGTGGCAGGCAGAATTTTCTCCGTGCACGTGGTGGAAATTATGAAATATTTCACTCGAGAACATTTTCTCCTTATCATATTACTGAGTGAACATCAACGCAATACATCAACTGAGTGAACATGTACAAATTTTTCATGTCTTTAGCAAGTTCGAAATGATTTGTTTTTAGATGACATATATATTGTACTTTGCATAGAATATGCAAAACATTTTATTATGCAGAACATTTTATTAAAGCTTATATACTACGTACTACAAATGGGTTAATGCAAACACTTTAGTCAATAGCATGTATATATAAAAATATGCCGACTCCATACTCTTCCAACAAATAATCCTTTATATATAGTTAAAGTGCCTATGTCATAGTTTGGGAATCAGCCTATTTAGATAGTTTAGATGATTTTAAGAACTTTTGCAATATATTTTATAATTCGAAAATTTGATCTTCATGGACTTTCGGGGGCTCAAAGTTGGCGATTTTGCCTATTCTGAGCGTTTGGTCGCCAGCATAAAAGTACTGGGGCGAGAATGCCGGCGTGACGTCAAACCGGGAAGTCATCAAAACAAAATCAAAATACATATGATTTACTGTAGTTTCTTGACAAAATCGAGTATAAATTAGATGTTTCTGGAAATTTCTTCAATATTTCGATTGAAATTTAAATGGAACTATATCCTTAACCTTCGGTTATCCAACTGACAGGCAGATTGGGCGAGATACTAACTTTATGGCTGAGAGTGCAGGTCAAACACATATACGCTGTTGCTATATATTCTATCTCGGTTTCTTGATTTATATACAGAAATATCGAGACAAAACGGCAAAGAACTGTAGGCTGTTGTTAAACCTGATCCAGTAGAATATATTCGCTTTGCCCTCGGTTTTGTCAATGCCAGCCAGAATGGCGGAAATTATTCTGACAAAACGCCTCGTCCACTGATCAATACAGAGTCAGAGGCGTACCATTGCTTGAATTTGGACGTCAAAATGTGTCGTATAAAATTGGCGAGAAGGTGATTAAATACGGTTTTTATGTGATTTAAAACTAAAAGAGAAACTCCAAAGGCAAACTGAACTTGTTCTATTGTTACTGATAGGTATGCAAGAGAAAATTGATCTTTGAATGAAGTCGCGATTCTAGTTTTGCCTGCAAAATGCATATAAAACAAAGAAAGAATAAAATGTATTTATGGTCCTGGGTCACATTGCTTTAAATTTAGATTTTTATTCTTGAATCATACTGTAAAAATCACTTGCTTAAATAGAACAAACTTGTCTTGTCATTTTGAAAATCTTGTTCAGTTCTTTATAACAGATCAGATGAAACCATTTCATTGCCAAATGTAAACAAAGCAATGCCAAGGCAATGGGTCAATCCAGATAATTTCCAGGGATTATACTTACATTCATATGTCGTAATTTGCCAAAATGATCCACGACTTATGAATAAATAATGTCACACCCAATAACCATATATAATATCATTTCATAATTTATAAATATAATAAAATTATTTGCATATTTTTGCAAACTGGCAAGTTCGGCACCTCAAATAAATTGAATAATACAAAGCACAAGTGTTTCAAAATGTTTTCACATTTAATGAAAAATTTACTATAACTTTATAAAGAATAGATGTTTATGACTTAGAAATCAAATCCGTTAGGTCTTTAGGATAAATAATATGGTAAAGACAAGTCATAGCCCAGAAATGGGCGAATCATGAAATACAATAGGCCCCTTCGCTTGCTTTGTTTACATTAGGCATTTTGCTTAGCAGACAAGGTCAAATGTCGAAAAAATACAATACTCAATAGAATATTATAATTTTCAAAATGATTATAGTTTACTATAATTAAGAAAGTGATTTTTATTATTCATGAATCAGAAATATAAAGATGTGTCATATTTTAAAAAATGTAGCCTAGTTGTATTATTTCATGAACACAATTGACCATTTGCGCAATAGACAAAATTTTGATCTAAACAAGTCTAGACAAAAATTTCATCACAGCTTGAAAGAGCATCACAAAATTAGTAATATTCCAAAGTTTCGTTGTGAAATGTTGTAAAATGCGCATAATATAGCCTTGTGAAATTTGCAATTTTCAGTCATTTTAGATTACAAACGGGAAATTGACAGCTCAAAGTGTTCGGGCGACAAATTTCCCGTTTGTATAATCTAAAATGACTGAAAATTGCAAATTTCGCAAGGTTATATTATCCGCATTTTACAACATTTTGCAACCAAAAAAATTTTGGAATATTACTAATTTTGTGATGCTCTTTCAAGCTGTGATGAAATTTTTGTCTAGATCAAAATTTAGTCTATAATTCAAATGATCAATTAGAACACAATTATATAATACATCTTACATTTAGGCGATTTTGCAAGACTAGCTTAATAATAATTCACGAATTTATTCAAATATCAACTTTAAATTTACAGTAATTCATGAATACATGTCGATATAATAAAACAAGTTCACTTTGCCTTCAGAATTTCTCTTTTTAAATCATATAAAATTCGTATTACCTACTTTTTCACAAAATTATTTACGGTACATCCTGACGCGGCTATGACGCCCAAATTCAAAGCAAACCGGCGGTTTCAGCCACTTCTATTGGTCCTGGACGAGGTGTTTTGCCCACAATAATTTGCAATCTGGCCTGTATTGACAAAGAGAATAGATTCTCCTGGATTGGGTTTAACAACAGCCTACAGTTCCTTGCCGTTTTGTCCCGACATTTCTGTATATAAAATCAAGATAGATTAGCATCAGCGTATACGTGTTTGACCTGCACACTCAGCCATAAAATTAGTATCTCGCCCAATTTGCCTGTCAGTTGGATAACCGAAGGTTAAGGATATAGCCCAATTAAATTTCAATCGAAATATTGAGGAAATTTCCAGAAACATCTAATTTATACTCGATTTTATCATGATTTTATCAAGAAACTATAGCAAATCATATGTATTTTGTTTTGATCAGTTCCCGGTTTGACGTCACATCCGGCGTTTAAGGCACTCTCGCCCTAGTCCTTTTACACTCACGGTTAAGCAAAAAATTGCCAACTTTGAGCCCCTGAAAGTCCATGAAGATCAAATTTTCGAATTATAAAATATATTGCAAAAGTTCTTAAAATCTTCTAAACTATCTAAATAGACTAATTCCCAAACTATGACATAGGCACTTTAATAATTTGACACATGCACACAATGCATTTGAAGGTGTTGCATGCACGCCCAGACTACTTCCTATTCAAAACAATGAGCACCCTAATTAAAATCAATAAGTATAAGATTTAGATTACTACACACTTGTCAATTAATTATCTCACCAATGTATAATCATATCCATTCCTTACACTTTGTCGCCTTTCGTTCATGATGTCTATAATGTGCTGCCGAATTGCTGCTTTGTCAAAGCCAACAGTCTCAAATATGCAATCATCCAGTTCATCAACAAGAGCGTCCAGTTGTTCTGTTTTTCTTGCTTGTTCTTTCTGAATATAGGAATATTGTTGCCAGGCCATTTCTTGATGGCTGCAGCTCTAACAGCTTTCTTCCTAAAATTAAAATGCAACTTAATTAGACATCAAGATATAATATAATGCAACTGTCATCAGAAACAGATTTTCATATTTTCGTTCGGGGTGGGGGTGGATAAATATCTGGGGGGTGCTGCTGCTTGCTTTGGCCGGGGCGGCAACGCCCGGAAAAAGTTTAACAAAATCTGTTTTCTAGGCCTGTATGGCGAGATCTGAGACCATAATATTGGTAATTTTACAAATTTAGTAGTAAGAACTAATAATCAAAATATATGAAACTATCAAATCAAAATATATATTATTTGTGGGGGTGCAAAAAGTTTTGGGGGTGGTGCCAAATGCCTCTGCGGGGGTGCAAATCATTTCTGGGTGGGTGGGGGGGGGGGTGCGCACCCCCTCTCCCCCAGAAAATATGTGCCTGATCAGAAACACCCACTTGGGAAACTCATTACTCATGGAGGATTAGACTGCTGAAGAAATGAAAATGCCACACCTATAGCTTGTTTGCAATCAAAGCCAACTTGGTTGATTTTTCAAAACACACATGCATGGCAACTATAACATTTTATTTCATATTCTTCATTTTTTGTCGTATTGAGCCAATAAAGACTGTAAAACTAGCAAAAATACAAAAAGATATGTCAAAACAAGCCAGAAACTATTAAATTAACTCCACTACTTAACTAAAATATCAGACAAGGTGGAAAACTATTTTTTCAGGCGAGCATCTTCCTTCAAACCTACACTCCCCAAGAGACTGGGATCAACTCTTTCATGCTAAAGCATGCAGGCTGCATGTGTTATGGATTAAATATTTCTTGTTTTTATTCTCTCATTTTCTGATTTCTTAACGCCCCATGTTTCTCCGGAATGGGGAGTGTACTTTTGAAGGGAGATGCTCACCTGAAATAGTTTTCCACCTCGTCAGATATTTTTTACACCTCATTATAAATGATGGATCATATTGACCAATAATTCTGAAGTTCAAATAGCACCATTACAACCCAATTTCCTGATCCCCATGGTGGGGGAGACTTTTTATTAAGTGACAGCCATTAGAAAAGTGATGGGGGGACAGAAAAAATTCATACAAGCAAAAAAGGTTTGGAAAAAATGTGCGACAGAATTGTTTCAGAAAAAAATTGCAAGCAACAATAGAACTTCTTTAATTTTAAATTAGAGATAAATTTTAACTCTTTGAAAATCTTTAGGATATTAGTTCTAACAAAAGTACAGAAATTTCATTTCTGATTATCTTTTGATACTCCAAATTTGAACATTTTTCTGCTCAACACCAACCATGGGCCAGGCTCAGAGAGGTTGGCAGCGCCCTATGTTGATCAAGCTTCCAATGCCTCTGTCAATAACAATCTCTTATTAACATTATATATATTTTGTTTTTTTTTTGTATTTCGATTTTGCTGACAACAGTTTCAATTTATATAGTTGTATTGGCTAAAAAAAATGTTGCTTGCTAGGTAACACATTTATAAAAAAATACTTACACAGAGGACGATCTCAAAAAATGCAAATATAAACCCATCCTGCCATCACTTTTCTAGTGGTCCGTCCCACTAATGACATAATATTAATGGGCTATTACAATTATTATCCGCACCCCCCTGTTGAGGAACCTTGGAATTTCCAGGGGAGGGGGTGCATTAACCTTGGAATTTCCAGGGGAGAGGTGCATTAACTTTAAATTTCCAGGGGAGGGGGTACATTAACCTTGGAATCTCCAGGGGAGGGGGTGGATTAACCCTGGAATTTCCAGAGAAGGGGGCATTCAGGATCTGGAGTTCCAAGGGGAGGAGTAATTCTCACATGGAATTTCCAGAGGGAGGGGTAAATTTCATGGGATGGAAATTCCATAGGAGGATATATGTTAGAGGGAAATTTCCGGGAGTAAATGTCCCATGATGGAAAGTCGATAGGGAAAGGTAATTTATACATGGAAATTCCATGGACAGGGCCAAATTTTAAATAGAAATTCCATGGGGAAGGCCTAATTTAAAATGAAAATTCCATGGGCAAGGGTAATTTTTACAAGGAAATTCCATGGGAAAGGGTAAATTTTACATGAAAATTTGTGGAAATTCCAGGGGAGTACCGACATGAGAAAGGGGTTCGTCAACAGGGGGGGGTGCGGATAATAATTGGAATAGCCCAATATAAAATCTATGCCAAATAGATTTGTCTCGGACCAACAATAAAACTGCAAGATGAACATCTGCCACACAAATATACAGGGTCAAACACAAGGATTGTTAATGATTAAACCTTAACAGTACATCACATATCAGTTTTGCATATCATATGATACAAAACAAGTGAAACTCCAAAAATCGATAACATTTTTATTTATCTACGTTTCGACTATATTTCAGTCATCATCAGGATAAACTAGCTAGGTTATATATCAAAAGCGGTATTTATATGAAGAAATATGATACAATAGTTAGGTTGATTATTAACGAAATAATGAAATATGATTAGTTCTTTAGAAGCTTTAAGTCCATGATTAAGTTCAGGGTTATATCTTTGAATAGCGAGGGATTCTTGATATAGTGAAAGGGACCAATGGTTATATTTATCAATTATTTTAGTGTTGTTGAAAACATGTTCAGCCATTATACTGGTTTGATCAGACTTTGCGTCATCGTCGGGATAAAGTTCTAAAAGGGCTTTAATATGTTGAAACTGTTCGCAAGTAGAGAGGTGTTGATGGATTACAGATTCTGTGTGATATGAATGTTCCTTAGTTCTGGTGTATAAGCAGCGATCAGTTTTGCCTATGTACCTACCATTACATCCAGGGCAAGTAAATTCATAAACTACAGAGCTTTGATAAGTTTTCGGGGTTTTATCTTTGCATGACACAAATACGTTGCTGTTAATGGTTTTCCAGTTAATAATGAATCGTTAATAATGAATAATGAATAATATCATATGCGTGCGAGTCTTTCAAATATTAAAATTTTCATGTTAATAATGAATAATATCATATGCGTGCAAGTCTTTCAAATATTAAAATATTTTAAGAAAATGGCTGCCATTTTTAATATGTTAATTATTGTACTCCACACTGAACACACTTACTTCGCATTATATATGCGTTTGTTTACTTCGGTGCATTCTTTTAACTCCTTATTTGATGTTTTTTTTCGGGAGACCACAATAATTACAGGGCTTTCCATTGTTTTTTTGACATCCAGTTGGGAGATAACAAGTCGCTGAAATTTAAGTTGTGAACCTACTGTATTCAGTCCACAACGTTCAAGCTGAGAAGTTGTCCCTTTGGTTGCAAGTAATTCAATGGCAAAGCCGTCAATCTGTTGGTTTACAGATGTAAAAAATATTTACGTGTATTATCAATTGTTAACAGATAGACTGATGAAAATACGTTTATAAAAGTGACGTATTTATTCTATATGTAAACAGGCACACGACCGAAGTCAGTTCAGACACAGTACACCTGCACATTTTGTCGTGACTTCTTCCCCCCAATTTTTTTTTATCCAGTCCAATACATCTTCTTCAGTCATACTCTGAAAGTCAGACATCTTACATATAAAATGCGTATACTACTTTAAATCTTTATTCCTTGCTGCACAGTTTTCATGCTTCGGTGCTTCTTCTTCGATTGCTTGTTTTGGACCTTTTGGCGCCTTTTCTAGTTTCCGTTCACGTGACAATAAATCGAAATATGATTGGCCGTGTGTCATCACAACCTACAGAGCTGGAATTTGGTGGGAATATTTGACAGATGTTTTCATGTTTGTTTTCGTGCTGGCTATGTACTATTAATCAATTCAACTTTTTTTAATCTTTTTAATTGTTATGGGATAATAAAACTGTTGGCTCTGTCATACCCCATAAAATGCTTGGGGCTGCTGAAGCAGTCGGGAACATACGTAGAGGCGCATGGCAACAACACAATATCGTTTATCCTATGTACATGTTCATTGTCCGTGCCAGGTGTGCAATTCAAACGCTGTGTCGTCTATTGCAACAGAACATCGACATTGGAGCAGGGCATGTGAATGTATGGATACTGATGTTGAGTAAGTTACCAGCAAGTTGATAAGCAGTAGCGAGTAACCCTGTAGGGTGCCAGTGGACCATGGTCTATTGGTTCATGGGCCCTCTAGATGGATGTGGCCCAACATAAAAGTTAATTTTTGGTAGTGTGACTGGGTTTTAGCTAAATCTTCAATATTTGCAGTCACTTTCGTAGTGAGGTGAGTTAATTACGCGATTCTGTGTTATTCTTGGGTGGGGGTTTAAACTTTAGAGGGTTTAATATTTATTGTTATATAGTTAGTGTCAAAGTTCAATTTTTCTGTTTGCCGATTGGTCAAAACCGTATCACGTGCCGGTCCACAAACGTCATGTTAGGCAACCGGTCCACAATGAAACATTTATTGACCGGTCAATAATAAAATGGGTGCAATACACATGCGTGTCAACCCCAAAGTTGCTGGAAACATTTTTTTTCACCAACATTTTTGGGGAAAATATGGTACCGTGGTAATTTTTGGCCCAATGTAGAAATCTTATGCAGCCAGATGTGGTAATTGCCTCGGAAAAAACCTGGTCACACTGAAGGGGTCCCACTTTTCTTCTTGACCAAATGTAATTTCCAAAACTGAGGAAAAACTCGGGGGAAGAGCAAATGAATTGGTAAATCTTCCAATAAATAGTCCTACAATCTCCTAATTTTCAGGAAGTAACAAGTGTGGGCACTGGAACCCCCACTCGCTTAGGGCTCGTGTGTTGTACATGTGCATATATCCCAGCTCATAGCGTTGTAGAACATTGTGATATCTCTTTATATGTTCTAAAATTCTTGCTGAAAGCACGTGTACAATTTGATAATAACTAAAAAAACATATGGTTTCTTTAATTACGATTGATTGCAATCATATAAATATAATTGATAGTTTGTATTGGTCTTCCGTGGTAATGCTGGTATGATCATGATCCAACAATTCAATAATTAAGGCATTGTGAATTTATAGCAATATCTTATAAAAGTGCAAACTGTTAATTAGATTGTACACTCGTACATCAACACTGTTTATTTTTAGAAGTGAAACAGCCAAGTGTTCTGACGGTGAATTAGGTGGAGGTCTGAATGATTTAGATGTACATCTAACTGTTGGCAACAATATCGCACACACCACTTTTCATGAGGATATGTCTTCTCTTGGGAGTACCAGTATGGAACCTAGTGATGATGAGTGTGATCCAATAGCAGACGGTGATTGCACACTTGAGTCTCCTTTGACTAATCCTGACGAAAGAGAAATCGTTACTGCAATTTTAGAAGCACTGAATTTGGTGGACCAAATGCAAGGCTCTCATAAAGATTTTGTCGATGTGTTGGAATTCGCAGAAAAACTGTATTCAAGAAACTACGATGGGGAACAACCAGTGAAATATATGTGGCCCAAGAGTTGGAGGGAGACAGAGATGATTTTAAAAAAATGTGGCTACAGTGATCCAAAGGAATATTACATATGCTTGGACCAGTCTCACTATTCAAAATGGGACGTCATGTTGAATTCTGAAGACAGTTGCAAGTACTGTGGAAAAAGTGGAAACATAAAGTATTATTATCTTGGATTGCCAGACAAAGTCAAAAGATGGTGTTCAAATGCTAATATGTGCAAGGAAATGATGGCACATTGGGAAAACAAAGAACACTGGATACGTGGCATTGGATCAAACTTTATTTTGAAAGAAGTATGGGACGGGTCTAGATTTAATGAGTTATCCTGGTTCTGCAACCCTGAGTGTTCCTGGATGTTACCTTTTCGATGTAAATTTTGCAATTCTGTGATTGGTGCTAAAGAAATAGAAGAATCAGAACAAAATGAAGAATGCTACAATGTCCAATGTTCAGAATGTGGTACTAATCATGATCATATACCATGCTTTACCAATGGAAACCCGCATAACATTGCACTCATTGGGCACTGGGATGGTTGGCAACCATTTGGTTACCCAGGGTCTCATAGTTGTGGCAAGTGCATGATTTTTGTTATTTAATCCATTAAATAAATGTGTAATAAGTTCAGTATAAATTTACATTTTAACCCATTAAGCCATAATGCTCCCAAATGAGCCAAATGCCAGACGATTTTACTCGTCTTGTGCTTTAATGGGTTAATATTTCTATCAATGCCAGATGACTTTACTTGTCAAGTGGAAGAGTAGTGGGGCATTAATTTATTAATGGTTAGTATCATAAAGCACACAGATGTTTACAATTCAAATTAAATGAATTTGCTAATATTCAACTTTTTCAAATTGGTGATTTGTAATTGGCCCCATGGAACCAAACATTTTGACTTGATAAACAGTTTAAATGCTGTTACTCAACACTGACTATTTTTACGTATTAATAATGAACGGAACTC